ATTTTAGGGGCTTAGCTAATTTAGCCTTTTATATCCAAGTCACATGTACTAGATTTAGTACTTCATCAAAATCATCCCGATCTCGTGATTCCGTGATCAGAATCATATAATTTTGTGCTCATTAGAACTGTCTCAGTGAGCTGAATCCAATGGTAGTTGATTTATCCAAATTGGTCTAGTATATCAAAAGTTATGATCAAAAATATAAATTTTTTAATGTTAATATTCTTCTCCACTTAGTTTTAAGCTTCACGAAAATTAGAGTAGGGCATGATAATCAGCAATAGACAGACCATTAATCTTGGCAAGTGTTGTATTGGTGGCTCGAAAGATTTGTTGAATTCCAAGACTTTCAAAAATATTATAAACTCTGATAGAAGCCTTATAATAATAGATAGAGACTTCTCGTCGTATTATTCTTTGCTCTAGAGGATTTTCTTCTATCAGTTCACCTAGATAGTAGGTATAGGCTAACTGTGTTTTCCTCATGTAAGGTCGGGTTCTAAGTAACTTGTTTCTAATTTTTACAATTTGGTCTTGTAAACTTGGAGTTCTATCTACTGGTCGAGGTATTGGATTAGGATATACTGGTATCATGCTAAGAAGATTAGCGAGAATCTCATTGAAATTATTACTCATTGTGAAAGAGTATTATTTTCATTGACAAGAGATGTTGATTGATTCATAACAATCATAGGGTTCCACAAATATCTATCATGATATCTTATTGAAATGTTTTCCTCGATCAGACTGCAGATATGTAGGGCATCTATGATGACAGATTATATCTTCATAAATAAAATCTACTATATTTTTGGTATCAGCTCTAGGCATAGCTTTTGCTTCTAGCCATTTGGTCATATAGTCAGTAGCAATTATAATATACTTGTTTTGTTAAGTAGTAATAGATAAAGGTTCAACAAAATCTATACCAATTCAGTGAAAAGGTGCTTCTACAGGAATTGGTTAAAGAGGTCCTGGTATTTGATATTTTTCTCTTTTTTGGCAGATATCACATGTTTGAACATAATTCTTAATATGTTTGTATATATGTGGCCAATAGTATTTATCTTGGATTTTTCCAAACATCTTATCTGTTCCAAGATGTGCTCCAATCAGATGGTTGTGTATTAAGTAAAGGATTGGTTCTATTTCATGTGCTTGGATTACTTTAAGTAATTGGTGGATCTTCTGTTTTCTTCGGTCTTGTTTGTAAAGTAAATCATTCTTGATAATATAAAATTTGCTTTGGGATTCTAATTGTTTTCT